AACTGTTTCGCGAGAAAAATCCTCGTTTACATAAATGTTTGTTCCTCTGAGACGAGCTGATTCTTTCAAAATTTTAACTTTGTCTTTGTATTGTTGAAGTTTTAAAACTATCACCCTCGAACGTCCATCTTTTTTTGGCCCAGTGCGATGTGCTCGTTCAATTTCAATACTCTTTATACCCAGTTTTTGTAGAAAAAATGAATGAACTTTTTCTTCGGTTTTGTCCCAAGATTCTACTTCGTCTTCACATATTCCCTCAATTCTCAAGTTATTTCTCCGCGATCTATCTTCGAGGTTACGGATTTTTTCGTTTAGAAATTCGTTATTAGTTCTTTCTTTCTCTAATTGTTTGTTGATGTCGATTTTGTTTAAAAAATGTTTGTTGTTACTTTCAATCTTTTTATCAATTACGTGTTCGTTGAAGTTTAAACTTTCTTTTATATCTTCAAGCTCTATTTCAATTTTTTTAATCTTGTTTGCATTTTGAGTGATATTTTTCTCAAATTTATCCAATCGTTCGTTTAATATTTTTGTATTTGCACTAATAATATCAATTACTGTTTTTTCTTGGTTTTTTAATAAAACTAAAGTTTCCTTTTTAAAATCATTAAGCATTTCTTTCATCATTTTTTTTATTTCTTTAAGTGTTACAGCCATACCTGATGTTGATAGGATCTTTTTAGTTAGTAGATTCGTAGGTTTTTTAGTTGTTTCTTTATTATACTTCAATTCCGTAGACTTTATTTATTTATTTACTTTTTTCTAGTCGATAACTTTTATTTAATTCAGTAGAATTTTTAATACTTTTCTGCGCAGAAAAGCGTCTGTTCACTTCGAAAGCTTGCGTGAAAAAATTCTAGAGATGGCATTATAAGAACTAAATATAACTCAAGATCCTCAGTGTCGAACTTTATAAACAAATCATATTTTACACTATCGACAGAAATTAATAAAAAACTATATTACTTTAAGAAAGGTAATTTTAACAATCGAAAAAATGATTTTTTTTTTTTTTTTAATATAAAATGATTTCTTATTTATTTATTTACCATTCCAATACTTTGTTCTGTATAAATTGTCTGTTGAAATTCCATTTCATCTAGTAGAAAAACGATGAAAAAAAAAAAAAAAAAAATACTTCAAATAATTATTTGCAATGCGCCTAGACGTAAATTATTAATACTTTACGTCTTGAGCGAGCGTACCGCGAATGTTTATTAAAGAAATTTTTCCTTGTTATTACTTTTCTACCAAATGAAATTAAATTTATTAAAATCTTTAAATATTTTCCGAGCATATTTTTTAAGCAGAACAAAGTATTGGAATGGTAAATAAATAGAAAATTTACGATATCAGTTTCTAGTAAACATATCTCCAATAACTGTACTTCTAGAAAATTAGATTAGGGGAGATGGGGGCGCATTGATCACCGGGGCAGTATGAACTTTAAGCTAATACTCGTTTAGTTTTGTCTTATTTTGACAGAGATTGAAATTTAATTAACCATTTACTTCTCATTATTGTTTAATTGTAATATTTTTGACAAGATCAACTTCTGCGTAATGAAATAGAAAATACAGTTTTTCATCATAAAAAGTGTTTTTTTGAAAGTAGTAAACAAATTCAAATAAATTTTTAATTAGATTTCCGTATGACTTATTAATTAAAACTAATATTAATAATATTAGTTTAAGTTTTACATAAGTTTTACAATTAGTTTACATAATATTATTATTTAAAATGTTTTATTTAAAACAATTATTTTATTTTAAACTTTTTTTTTTAATTTTTAGATCTTTAAATGGTTAGGTAGAGGAAAAAAAAAACAGACAGAGTTGCTTTATCGTGTGATACATTGAAAGCCGCTGTAAAAAATAATAAGATCTGCCTATCATCATGGATCAAAAAAGATTTGCAGGAATTGATTGGTTGCAAGGTTTTATGAAAAGACAACCAGAGTTGTCTTTACGAACGCCTGAAGCAACTAGCTTTGCTTGATCAACTGCCTTTAACCGACACACTGTAGAAGAATTTTTTCAAAATCTCAAAATATTAAGACAACAATGTAAAATTGATTCTTTCTGTATATATAATGTTGATGAAACTGGTTTAACAACTGTACAAAACTCAGTAAATCTGTTGGCAGGTAAAGGAAGTAAACAAGTAGGAAGAACCATATCTACAGAACGAGTAACAAAGGTAACTGTATGTCGTGCTTTAGGAATTGCAATTGCAATTCCAATTTTTTTTTTTTTTTTTTTTTTTTTTTTTCTTGAATATTCAATATAGTTATACAATAAGATAGTTGAGATAAAAATCGTTATACAATAAAAGAAAATATATACAAAAAAGAAAGAACGCGGAGACTCGCAGAAGACCTTCAGGTCTAATCATCGAGAACCGCTCGTGAATATTAAGTACATTAAATTAACATGAAGTATAAAATCTAAACAATGTCGTATTAAAAATTAGCGAGAACGTAAATTTCGTAATAATATATAAATAAAATTGGAATAAAGAAATTGTTGATACTCTTATATATAAATACAAAAATATTTTAAAAAGTACTGTTTTCACAAACACATAAGTTATGGATCAGATATAATATTTATATATTACCTTATGTAATAAACTTCATATTCATTTTTAAAAGAATTTAAAAATATAAAAAAATGTCTTCAAAAGACAAAACAATTTCTTTTAGTTTTTTCTTGAATGAAAGATAATTCCATTCATGGGAAAAATCAAAATTTTTTAAAACTATTTTGTTCCATAGAAAAGCTCCTCGATATGAAATACATGACTTTCCAAAATTAGTTAAAGATAAAGGTTGCTGAATTTGATTATCATTTCTTAAGTTATATTTATTTTTATCTTTTAAGGTATATTGATTATTAAAAGAAACTGGAGATTCGTTGGTTTTACAATTGAACATAAAACAAAGTATATTAAAAATATTTAGCTGATAAATATTAAGAATTTTCATTTGAAATAATAATGGTTTGGCATGAGCAAATCGATCTTTATAATTGATAAGCCGAGCAACATGCTTCTACTGACGATAAAGAGGTAGCAGTTTAGATTTATTGGTATTACCCCAAGCAATATTTGCAAATGCAATTGGAAACTCTATTTCTCTACTATTTGTTTTTCTTAGGGTCAAATTTTATGATTACATGAAGGTCCTCCTGGGTGCGGGGGATTCGCAAACCCTTCTCTTTGGATGAATTTAGACATTTTTATAGAATGGATAAAACATTTTGTGAGTTATTCAAACTGTTCTCATGAATCTCCAGTTTTGTTACTTCTGCACAGCCATAAAAGTCATTTTTCTGTTATAGCTTTGGTTCTTTCAATTCAACATGTAATTAAAATGTTTTCCTCCCCATAACACCCATAAATTTCAACTATTAGATTGAACTCTTTTTGGACCATTGAAAATGTTCTACAATGCTGCATGTGACAATTGGATAGTCACAAATCCAAGACCTATCTATGACCATTTGAGATATTGTTTTAATAGTTCACAAACCATATAAAAAAGCTTTCTCACCATCTAATATACAAAAGCTTTCTCACTATTTAATTTACAAAAGCTTTCTCACCATCTAATATACAAAAGTTTTCTCACCATTTTATATACAAAAGCTTTCTCACCGTCTAATATACAAAGAGAATTTCAAGTAGCCGGCATTGAACCATTTAATCCAGAAATTTTTGAAGGTGATGAATATTTACTATTATCAGATTATCAGTTACAGGTTGTGCTGCGCCAAATGCAGTAAACACAATTCTTATGGAACCTG